AAAACACTGAAGAGTTGTATGTTTTTTTCTATTCATAATTTGGACTTGGGTCGTGAACGAGAATTGTGTATTTTTGCATAGAAAACCCATTGCAACTCGAAATGAGATCATACGATGTCGTATTCAAAATTTAAGCCAATCTTCTTGACTCGGTTGATTTAGTAAGCCTGAAAACACTGAAGAGTTGTATGTTTTTTTCTATTCATAATTTGGACTTGAGTCGTGAACGAGAATTGTGTATTTTTGCATAGGGAACCCATTGCAACTCGAAATGAGATCATATGTTGTCGTATTCAAAATTTAAGCCAATCTTCGTGACTCGATTTATTTAGTAAGCCTGAAAACACTGAAGAGTTGTATGTTTTTTTCTATTCATAATTTGGACTTGAGTCGTGAACGAGAATTGTGTACTTTTGCATAGGGAACCCATTGCAACTCGAAATGAGATCATATGTTGTCGTATTCAAAATTTAAGCCAATCTTCGTGACTCGATTTATTTAGTAAGCATGAAAACACTGAAGAGTTGTATGTTTTTTTCTATTCATAATTTGGACTTGAGTCGTGAACGAGAATTGTGTATTTTTGCATAGGGAACCCATTGCAACTCGAAATGAGATCATACGATGTCGCATTCAAAATTTAAGCCAATCTTCGTGACTCGGTTGATTTAGTAAGCCCGAAAACACTGAAGAGTTGTATGTTTTTTTCTATTCATAATTTGGACTTGAGTCGTGAACGAGAATTGTGTATTTTTGCATAGGGAACCCATTGCAACTCGAAATGAGATCATACGATGTTGTATTCAAAATTTAAGCCAATCTTCGTGACTCGGTTGATTTAGTAAGCCTGAAAACACTGAAGAGTTGTATGTTTTTTTCTATTCATAATTTGGACTTGAGTCGTGAACGAGATTTGTGTATTTTTGCATAGGGAACCCATTGCAACTCGAAATGAGATCATATGTTGTCGTATTCAAAATTTAAGCCAATCTTCGTGACTCGATTTATTTAGTAAGCCTGAAAACACTGAAGAGTTGTATGTTTTTTTCTATTCATAATTTGGACTTGAGTCGTGAACGAGAATTGTGTACTTTTGCATAGGGAACCCATTGCAACTCGAAATGAGATCATATGTTGTCGTATTCAAAATTTAAGCCAATCTTCGTGACTCGATTTATTTAGTAAGCATGAAAACACTGAAGAGTTGTATGTTTTTTTCTATTCATAATTTGGACTTGAGTCGTGAACGAGAATTGTGTATTTTTGCATAGGGAACCCATTGCAACTCGAAATGAGATCATACGATGTCGCATTCAAAATTTAAGCCAATCTTCGTGACTCGGTTGATTTAGTAAGCCCGAAAACACTGAAGAGTTGTATGTTTTTTTCTATTCATAATTTGGACTTGAGTCGTGAACGAGAATTGTGTATTTTTGCATAGGGAACCCATTGCAACTCGAAATGAGATCATACGATGTTGTATTCAAAATTTAAGCCAATCTTCGTGACTCGGTTGATTTAGTAAGCCTGAAAACACTGAAGAGTTGTATGTTTTTTTCTATTCATAATTTGGACTTGAGTCGTGAACGAGATTTGTGTATTTTTGCATAGGGAACCCATTGCAACTCGAAATGAGATCATATGTTGTCGTATTCAAAATTTAAGCCAATCTTCGTGACTCGATTTATTTAGTAAGCCTGAAAACACTGAAGAGTTGTATGTTTTTTTCTATTCATAATTTGGACTTGAGTCGTGAACGAGAATTGTGTACTTTTGCATAGGGAACCCATTGCAACTCGAAATGAGATCATATGTTGTCGTATTCAAAATTTAAGCCAATCTTCGTGACTCGATTTATTTAGTAAGCATGAAAACACTGAAGAGTTGTATGTTTTTTTCTATTCATAATTTGGACTTGAGTCGTGAACGAGAATTGTGTATTTTTGCATAGGGAACCCATTGCAACTCGAAATGAGATCATACGATGTCGTATTCAAAATTTAAGCCAATCTTCGTGACTCGGTTGATTTTGTAAGCCTGAAAACACTGAAGAGTTGTATGTTTTTTTCTATTCATAATTTGGACTTGAGTCGTGAACGAGAATTGTGTATTTTTGCATAGGGAACCCATTGCAACTCGAAATGAGATCATACGATGTCGTATTCAAAATTTAAGCCAATCTTCGTGACTCGGTTGATTTTGTAAGCCTGAAAACACTGAAGAGTTGTATGTTTTTTTCTATTCATAATTTGGACTTGGGTCGTGAACGAGAATTGTGTATTTTTGCATAGAAAACCCATTGCAACTCGAAATGAGATCATACGATGTCGTATTCAAAATTTAAGCCAATCTTCTTGACTCGGTTGATTTAGTAAGCCTGAAAACACTGAAGAGTTGTATGTTTTTTTCTATTCATAATTTGGACTTGAGTCGTGAACGAGAATTGTGTATTTTTGCATAGGGAACCCATTGCAACTCGAAATGAGATCATATGTTGTCGTATTCAAAATTTAAGCCAATCTTCGTGACTCGATTTATTTAGTAAGCCTGAAAACACTGAAGAGTTGTATGTTTTTTTCTATTCATAATTTGGACTTGAGTCGTGAACGAGATTTGTGTATTTTTGCATAGGGAACCCATTGCAACTCGAAATGAGATCATATGTTGTCGTATTCAAAATTTAAGCCAATCTTCGTGACTCGATTTATTTAGTAAGCCTGAAAACACTGAAGAGTTGTATGTTTTTTTCTATTCATAATTTGGACTTGAGTCGTGAACGAGAATTGTGTACTTTTGCATAGGGAACCCATTGCAACTCGAAATGAGATCATATGTTGTCGTATTCAAAATTTAAGCCAATCTTCGTGACTCGATTTATTTAGTAAGCATGAAAACACTGAAGAGTTGTATGTTTTTTTCTATTCATAATTTGGACTTGAGTCGTGAACGAGAATTGTGTATTTTTGCATAGGGAACCCATTGCAACTCGAAATGAGATCATACGATGTCGTATTCAAAATTTAAGCCAATCTTCGTGACTCGGTTGATTTTGTAAGCCTGAAAACACTGAAGAGTTGTATGTTTTTTTCTATTCATAATTTGGACTTGAGTCGTGAACGAGAATTGTGTATTTTTGCATAGGGAACCCATTGCAACTCGAAATGAGATCATACGATGTCGTATTCAAAATTTAAGCCAATCTTCGTGACTCGATTTATTTAGTAAGCATGAAAACACTGAAGAGTTGTATGTTTTTTTCTATTCATAATTTGGACTTGAGTCGTGAACGAGAATTGTGTACTTTTGCATAGGGAACCCATTGCAACTCGAAATGAGATCATATGTTGTCGTATTCAAAATTTAAGCCAATCTTCGTGACTCGATTTATTTAGTAAGCATGAAAACACTGAAGAGTTGTATGTTTTTTTCTATTCATAATTTGGACTTGAGTCGTGAACGAGAATTGTGTATTTTTGCATAGGGAACCCATTGCAACTCGAAATGAGATCATACGATGTCGTATTCAAAATTTAAGCCAATCTTCGTGACTCGGTTGATTTTGTAAGCCTGAAAACACTGAAGAGTTGTATGTTTTTTTCTATTCATAATTTGGACTTGAGTCGTGAACGAGAATTGTGTATTTTTGCATAGGGAACCCATTGCAACTCGAAATGAGATCATACGATGTCGTATTCAAAATTTAAGCCAATCTTCGTGACTCGGTTGATTTTGTAAGCCTGAAAACACTGAAGAGTTGTATGTTTTTTTCTATTCATAATTTGGACTTGGGTCGTGAACGAGAATTGTGTATTTTTGCATAGAAAACCCATTGCAACTCGAAATGAGATCATACGATGTCGTATTCAAAATTTAAGCCAATCTTCTTGACTCGGTTGATTTAGTAAGCCTGAAAACACTGAAGAGTTGTATGTTTTTTTCTATTCATAATTTGGACTTGAGTCGTGAACGAGAATTGTGTATTTTTGCATAGGGAACCCATTGCAACTCGAAATGAGATCATATGTTGTCGTATTCAAAATTTAAGCCAATCTTCGTGACTCGATTTATTTAGTAAGCCTGAAAACACTGAAGAGTTGTATGTTTTTTTCTATTCATAATTTGGACTTGAGTCGTGAACGAGATTTGTGTATTTTTGCATAGGGAACCCATTGCAACTCGAAATGAGATCATATGTTGTCGTATTCAAAATTTAAGCCAATCTTCGTGACTCGATTTATTTAGTAAGCCTGAAAACACTGAAGAGTTGTATGTTTTTTTCTATTCATAATTTGGACTTGAGTCGTGAACGAGAATTGTGTACTTTTGCATAGGGAACCCATTGCAACTCGAAATGAGATCATATGTTGTCGTATTCAAAATTTAAGCCAATCTTCGTGACTCGATTTATTTAGTAAGCATGAAAACACTGAAGAGTTGTATGTTTTTTTCTATTCATAATTTGGACTTGAGTCGTGAACGAGAATTGTGTATTTTTGCATAGGGAACCCATTGCAACTCGAAATGAGATCATACGATGTCGTATTCAAAATTTAAGCCAATCTTCGTGACTCGGTTGATTTTGTAAGCCTGAAAACACTGAAGAGTTGTATGTTTTTTTCTATTCATAATTTGGACTTGAGTCGTGAACGAGAATTGTGTATTTTTGCATAGGGAACCCATTGCAACTCGAAATGAGATCATACGATGTCGTATTCAAAATTTAAGCCAATCTTCGTGACTCGGTTGATTTTGTAAGCCTGAAAACACTGAAGAGTTGTATGTTTTTTTCTATTCATAATTTGGACTTGGGTCGTGAACGAGAATTGTGTATTTTTGCATAGAAAACCCATTGCAACTCGAAATGAGATCATACGATGTCGTATTCAAAATTTAAGCCAATCTTCTTGACTCGGTTGATTTAGTAAGCCTGAAAACACTGAAGAGTTGTATGTTTTTTTCTATTCATAATTTGGACTTGAGTCGTGAACGAGAATTGTGTATTTTTGCATAGGGAACCCATTGCAACTCGACGATAACATGTAAGTATATTAGAAAAAACCGTCAATAGTTCGTCTGTACAGCAAAAAATATGAGCAAAACTGTAGGCTATCCAAAGATTGGATAACCCATCACCTGCCAAAATAAGGGTGCCATGGCAGCCCCCCCTATACTACCTCACGGCCTATCACAAACAAAAATAGGTGATGGGCGGAAAGTTATCAAAGTACTACCAAATCATAAGGATAGATGCAATACAGAATTTTATAGACAACATATTGTATCCTGGCAAAAACTTCCTCCTCCTTTGGCAAAAAATCATCAAATCGAGCTGCATTCCTGACTCTCCAAAGCGAGTATATGGTGCACAAGAAAGCAATCCTGGCGGCCTTGGCTCGTACATTAGCTCCACTCCTTTCCTTCTTGATCCATTTGACCGCACTAGCTAGGGTCCCCATCATTCGTGGAATGCCAATCCATGCTTTCATCATAGCCCAAACTTTTCCTGAAAAAGGGCATTCAAAGTAGAGGTGTGGAACCGTTTCCGGTCCACCCTTGCACAATACACAAGTATTATCCACATCTAATCTATGAAGATTATCACACGTGGCTAATCTGTTACGGAATGCCAGCCAAGTAACAAAGGAAAACTTGGGAGGGATGTAATCTTTCCAAATAAACGGCATCCACACACGGGTGGCAGCCCTAGGCCTAAGCAAATCATAAACTTTGGAGGATACAAGCTTACCATTCATCTGAAAAGCATTTAAGCCAAGTATAGCACTCGGGATGTCCTGGAATTTGGAGAGTATTTCATCTCGGATTTGTGCAATTTTTTTAAACAATTGTGAATCTCTTTCGTGTGGGACAAACTCCCACACACACCTACCCTTGAGATAAACCCCATGGACCCACTTGACCCAAAGTGTGTCCTTTTTTGTATGTATATCCCAAAAAGTTTTTGAAAGTAAAGCCTTATTCCAAACTCTTGTGTCATGTATGCCAAGTCCACCCTCTTCTTTAGGGAGACAAATATCAGCCCAGGCAACCCTAGCGAATTTGCTTCCCCAAAGAAAAATGCGACAAATGGATGTAATCCTATCAAGAATAACATTAGGGATGGGAAACATGTGTAACCAAAAAGAGTGCACTCCCTGTATAACGGACTTTATCAGCTCAACTCTGCCTGCATAAGATAAAGACTTAGTACTCCAAGCATTAATGAAAGTAGTTATGGACTCCAAAAGTGGTGCATACTGGGCCACAGATAACCTTAAGGGTGCCAGGGGGACCCCTAGGTATTTGACCGGGAATGCACCAATTTTGAAATCCACCAGTTCTAGTATAGTGTCAAGCTCATAATATGCATTACCACCAAGGAAGATATTTGATTTATCATAGTTGACCCTAAGGCCAGATAGGTTACCAAAATCTTCCAAGGCTTGTGTGAGAATCTGTATAGATGTGGTATCCCCTCTAGAAAAAAGCATCAAATCATCAGCATAAGCCACATGTGATATGTTAAGGGATCCACACAGGGGGTGGTGGTTAAACATAGGATTTTTGGTCCTAATGTTCAACAATCTGGAAAAATATTCCAAGCAAAGGACAAATAAGAGGGGGGACATAGGATCCCCTTGCCGAAGCCCTCTCTTACCCTCAAAGTGGCCGTGAAGCACCCCATTAATAGATATGGAATAGGAAGGTGTGGTGACACACTCCATAATCCAATGTATAAATCTGCCCGGGAAGCCCAAATGGGTTAACATGGCAGCCAGGAAATCCCAGGATATAGTATCATAGGCTTTCCGGAGATCAACCTTTATCATACATCTAGGAGATGCACGTTTCCTAGAGTATCCCTTGATCAGTTCTTGTGCAACGAAGACATTATCAATCATAAGTCTTCCATCAACAAACGCCCCTTGGGCGTGGTCAATGAGGTCTGGTAGACACGGGATCATTCTCTTAGAAATAATTTTGGTAATGACTTTGTAAACCACATTAGTACAAGCAATTGGTCTAAAGTCCGCCGGTGTGGGAGAGTGATTGGTCTTAGGAATTAAAGCAATAACCGTATGGTTAGTTTGCTTTAATAACCTGCCAGAGCCAAAGAAGCCCCTCACGGCTCTAGTAAAGTCAAAACCAACGGTGTTCCAATTTTTTTTAAAAAATGCGGATGTGTAACCGTCCGGCCCCGGTGATTTGTTATCACCAATATCAAACAAGGCCTCCTTGATTTCCAAGTCGGTGATAGGAGCAACCAAGCCAGGAGTGGCATTGGCGGGTAAACACCTACCCGAGGCCACCACAGAGGGGTCCAACCCGGAAGTGGGGTAGTAGGCACCAAACAAATTAGTATAAAAATTCACTAATTCCGTAGCAACTTGGTCAATAGAAGTGGTAGAAATCCCATTTTGGAGTTTTAAAGCCGTAATGGAATTTCTAGCCATATTCTTTTTCACAATAGCATGGAAGTATTTAGTACATTTATCACTTTGAACAAGATGATTTGCCTTAGCCTTTTGCTTAAAAAAATCTTCTTCGGCTAGTTTAAGGTTAAGAAGTTTCTTCTTGATCAAGGAGAGTTCTTCTTTTATAGTTTCGTCCAACGGAGAGAGTATAGAGAGCCCGAGGAGCCTTTTATACTCTTTCTTGGAGTCCTTAACTCTTTCGGAAATGTGGCCAAAGTGGAGTTTATTTAGCTCTCTAAGCGGTCTTTTGAGGTCCTTCAATTTCTTGGCTAAGATGAATTGGGAGCTACCGTATACCTCTCTATCCCAATGGGTGGTGAGGATGGCATTGAAATTTTCATGATTTAGCCACATATTAAAAAATTTAAAAGGCCGAGAGGCAGCCCCATTAGTTTTCCCAATGGAAACCATGGAAGCTACATGGTCGGATTCAAGTTCGAAATCATGAAAATGTGTTTTGCACTCAATATCCAAAGTAGACCAAAAAGAATTAATAAGAACTCGATCTAGTTTAGCCCAAAGGGAACCTCTATTCCAAGTAAGGAATTGGCCCGTGGATGGACAATCAACAAGATTAGTTTGCAATTTAAAATCATTTAAATGTTGCATATTATAGGCCGAGGGAGGGGTAGGACCCACCCTCTCATTCGGGCATCCAACACAATTGAAGTCTCCCATTACTAGCCACGGGCTATTAATGTTAGGCTCCAAGTTTGCTAGATGATCCCAAAGGGCCTTTCTCTCAAGAGCCGTATAGAGAGCATACACAAAAGTAACAAGATACTCAATTTGAGTAACCTTACAAGTGGCGGTAAGGTGTATATGTTGCTTGTCAATTTCAAGTACATTAATATGAACAAAATGTGGGTCCCAAATGATGCCAATACGGCCACCATCAATTTTGTCAAAATTAGTAATAGATAGCCAAGAAGGTAATCTATTTGAACTAAAATTAACAAAATTAGTAGTGGTCATTTTGGTTTCAAGGAGACAACACAAATGAATATTATTAGTGCGAATAAACTTAAGGATAGAGTTTTGTTTGGAGACCTTATTGAGGCCTCTTATATTCCATGCGGACACAATCATCAAGACCTTTTGTTGTTGTTCCTCCTCCCACCTTTCTTTCCTTGGACTCTCGGCCTAGCCTCATTTTTTTTCAACAAATGGCTCGGCTTTGCTCTTGCTTTGTACCTAGTAAGATATAATAAAGTATAGGGAAATTCAATAAACCAAGAGTTAAATTCATACCCGTACTCCGTAGCAACGACCCCCGGGATAGTCTCCAAGCATGTAGTCGTGAATGTGAGTCCCTCGGTAAGCTCATCTTGGGTGGCTCTCAAGTAGTTATCAAGCCTCACCATTTGATCTTTAACTTCACCGGAATGTAGTAGGTGAATCAAAGGTAGATTATCTTTGCCAAGTTCAAGCTTAACAATGACATCATCTCGGTATGCATCCCTAATATCATTCACCACACGTACTTTGTTGAAATCTTTCATACTTGGCCTTTTTACAAGCGAAGCTTTCCCCCTCGGGCATCCATCTTCATAATATCGGCACAAGTAATGTCTAAAAACAGCCCTCATAAAAGAAGGATCAAAAGTATACTCCTTGTCTCTTATTGTTATTCCGGGAAGATCTTCAAGGCATTCTTTGGTGAAAAGCATTCCGGGTTGGTCTTCCTTTACTATCTTGAGATGATGGTCCATCTTGATAATAGTAGCATCCTTATCTACATGCTTCTTGTGTGTAACATTGATATTTGGCATGAGCACCTCATCGGTTCCCATTTGAACTATCACCTCGTCTTGGTACGTATCATGAAAGTTGTGGACTTTCCGGATAAGTTCTTCTTCGCCATCCTTGAAAACGGATGTGACAACCTCACCTCTTATAGGCTTTCTCTTTCCCCATTTAAAGAGCCGAAACTTCTTGAAAAATGGATGATCTCTTTTAGTAATAAAGAGATCACTTTCCTCCTCAATAAGTTGCTCATTACTCACTGTTTTAGCATCCAAATTCACTGTTTTGGCAGCCATGTTGCTGCTCTCGGCTTCTCCTACAACCACATCCTTCGTACTCACTGTTTTGGCATCACAAATTGCACCCTCGGCAGCTCCTTCTTCCATATTAATACCCATACTTTTTTTTATAACATCTTCTTTAGCTTTCTTCTCAATTTCGGCAATAATGGAGCAAGTAAAGGCATGGTGGCCAAACTTTTTACAATGGAAACAATAATTTGGAAATGTTTCATACCTCACAAATTGAGTGTGTAGTTTGCCATTTGGTAACTTGATCTTGAGCTCAAGTGGAGGTGGTTTAGAGGCATCAACTTCAATGAGAACTCTTGCAAAATTTGATCTAGCCTTTTCAAGAGTAACTCTATCCGTAGTCAAGGGTAAGCCCACCTTAGATGCCACCTCACTTATGACATCCTCATTCCAAATCCGCATAGGTAGATGGGGGAATTGCACCCAAATAGGAACCTTAAGAAATTCCTCATCGCTCATAGAAAAATCATCCGATAGTAGTTTCAATGGAAATCTTTTCCCAAACAAGGTATATGGACCTTCCATAAGCACTTTAGCCCTATCCTTCTCATTTTGGAATTTAAAGATTACCCATCCTTTGTCATGGCTTCTAAAACGGCACGGGACAGCCCATTTTTGCACAATTGTGTGGAGATTTTTATATCCGGGATATCCACCATCAAAGTAACCAACTAAACAATGCCCCCAAATATCAATGATGGATGGTAGCACTCTAGTAGTGAGGTCAATAATGTCTCCTTTGGGCTCAATATATCTCAGTTTCATACCCTTATCGGGTTCCCTATTATCCTTGAAGAGTGAAGCAAATGAGGGTTTAGAGCCTGGATCTCCCCACTTGTTGACCCCCAATACCACAGCACCATTGGCAGTAACATCTGTCTTGTCCGAAGAGGGTATTGTCGCAGGCTGTAATGCCGCGGTATGGATAGTAGGTATAACAGCCAGGTTTGTGACTTCTTTGCTTGCCACTCCGCTTTGTTGGACAGTGGCTTTATTAGCCTCGGCTTCTTCATTTTCCAGAAATTGTTGGACACTAGAATCTAATTCATATTCCTCTTGAATCTCCAGTTGTTCCATATCATTTTCCTCTAAAGTAGGTTCAAGAGGAACAATTGCTTTAGCCAAGCCATCATTTTGGAGTGTAGAAATTTCCTCCACTGCAGTAGCTTCGTCCATATGCTCAGCCAGACCAACACTTTGGAGTGTAGAAGTTACCTCCACCGTAGTAACATCACCCATTTGCGCAGCCTCCATGCTAGAGTCCGAAGACAGCATTTTTTCTTCCTGGGAATTTTCAATTATGGGTTCCAGCAGTATGGAAGAACCCACAGCATCAATATGGTCCTGCGAATCATCTTCCTTGAGTTGGAATATGTCTACCCTCTGACGTACAGTTTCCTCAGTTGAATCATCAGCTTCCCTGTTCTGCCTAGCTCGAAGACGAGAAGATGATTTAGTAGGTGCGGGCATTTCCTTCTTTTTTTTGGTAGGCATGAGTAGAGGAAGAGGGAAAACTAAGCTGTAGCTCCCCAATTACGTAACCATCAGTCTGGTTTCCTTTTCAGCTATGGAAACTGGAGATAGCAGGTGACCGTTGAGGAAAAAATCGATCAGTCCTGATGAAGGAGAAAGTTATATTTGCTTGATCGTAACCTCAAGGGGAAGCTAGAACGATCCTCCAACCAGGTGTTGATCAAGGAAATCAAGAGCAGTAGGCGTTGACCACTCTCGGTGAACAGTAATTCCGAGCGATTTAATGCGTGCTATCAGTTCAAGAATCCAAACCTGGGCTCAAAAATTGAGGGATTTACAATCTAAAGGGGTTTAGGAAGTAAAAACATTCAATATCCAAGCTCAAAGAACAGGATTAATGGAAGATCGAGTGGATTTGTGGGTAAGAACGAAGAAGAACCTCACGCGAGGGAGAGAACAGCTCTCAACTTTTCGTAACCCAATGAACCCATTAACCCACCCCCCCCCCCCCCCCCCCCCCCCCCCCCCCCCCCATTGCAACTCGAAATGAGATCATATGTTGTCGTATTCAAAATTTAAGCCAATCTTCGTGACTCGATTTATTTAGTAAGCCTGAAAACACTGAAGAGTTGTATGTTTTTTTCTATTCATAATTTGGACTTGAGTCGTGAACGAGAATTGTGTACTTTTGCATAGGGAACCCATTGCAACTCGAAATGAGATCATATGTTGTCGTATTCAAAATTTAAGCCAATCTTCGTGACTCGATTTATTTAGTAAGCATGAAAACACTGAAGAGTTGTATGTTTTTTTCTATTCATAATTTGGACTTGAGTCGTGAACGAGAATTGTGTATTTTTGCATAGGGAACCCATTGCAACTCGAAATGAGATCATACGATGTCGCATTCAAAATTTAAGCCAATCTTCGTGACTCGGTTGATTTAGTAAGCCCGAAAACACTGAAGAGTTGTATGTTTTTTTCTATTCATAATTTGTACTTGAGTCGTGAACGAGAATTGTGTATTTTTGCATAGGGAACCCATTGCAACTCGAAATGAGATCATACGATGTTGTATTCAAAATTTAAGCCAATCTTCGTGACTCGGTTGATTTAGTAAGCCTGAAAACACTGAAGAGTTGTATGTTTTTTTCTATTCATAATTTGGACTTGAGTCGTGAACGAGATTTGTGTATTTTTGCATAGGGAACCCATTGCAACTCGAAATGAGATCATATGTTGTCGTATTCAAAATTTAAGCCAATCTTCGTGACTCGATTTATTTAGTAAGCATGAAAACACTGAAGAGTTGTATGTTTTTTTCTATTCATAATTTGGACTTGAGTCGTGAACGAGAATTGTGTATTTTTGCATAGGGAACCCATTGCAACTCGAAATGAGATCATACGATGTCGCATTCAAAATTTAAGCCAATCTTCGTGACTCGGTTGATTTAGTAAGCCCGAAAACACTGAAGAGTTGTATGTTTTTTTCTATTCATAATTTGGACTTGAGTCGTGAACGAGAATTGTGTATTTTTGCATAGGGAACCCATTGCAACTCGAAATGAGATCATACGATGTTGTATTCAAAATTTAAGCCAATCTTCGTGACTCGGTTGATTTAGTAAGCCTGAAAACACTGAAGAGTTGTATGTTTTTTTCTATTCATAATTTGGACTTGAGTCGTGAACGAGATTTGTGTATTTTTGCATAGGGAACCCATTGCAACTCGACGATAACATGTAAGTATATTAGAACCGTCCAAAAAAATAACATTTTACAATGTATCAGAACAAGATCAGAAAGCTACCTAAGTTAGAAAATCTAACTAAATAAGCAGGATCATACGTATAAAGGGGGTGGTCCCCCGTCAAAGTAATCCAGCATTTAAAAATGGGACATGCCCCATATCACCAAGATAAACTAAAATCACAAAATACTTAACTAACAAGAAGTGGAGCTACGGTAAAGTATCTGCCACCTCCCTCACATCCTTACCAGAATTTGGTTAAGGCATAAGCACGCAACAACCCTCCCCAATTCCACAATAGCTGAACGAACCAAGGGGTTATTTCCTTCCAGTCCGTTTTTTCTTTTTCTTCTTACTCTTAAAAAGATTTGGAAGAGGCATTTTGTTTTTAGCAAATGTTTCCTCCCAACTTAAACCTGGAATTCTCCTTGTCATTCTATTTCTGTTCACATTAGCATCTTTCCTAATCATAAAAACCTTACCGTCCATATAAACTTCATCAAAGTCTGCGGTATCTGTCATGTCCTCCTCCCCCGATCCATTATCGGTCTCATACGATCCATATCCTGAGCTCTCACTTTCAGTCTCTTCCGGCACAGTAGCTTCCGGCATAACAGGCGTAACAGTAGGCTCCGGCACAGTAACAATGCTCTTCACATGAGCCTCCGTATCCTTCACACCCACCTCACCTTGTAGCGTTTTCGGTACATCCTCTTTATCAACACCAAAATCATTCTTTTCCTTATCGTTCTTTTCCTTCCTTTCTTTTTCAGCCAGCTTTTTACAAATAAATGGGTGGTGCCCATATTCTTTGCAATGAAAGCAGTAGTTAGGAAAAGTCTCGTATCTCACCCATTGTTTAATTACCTTGTGTGAAGGTAATCTTATAGGAAAGGACAGTGGGGGTGGCTTTGACACATCAACTTCAATGAGTACTCTAGCGTAATTGTGGTTGGTTCTTTCTTGGGTGACCTTGTCCGTAGATAACGGAACCCCAATCATAGAGGCTACCTCACTCATTGCCCCTTCATTCCATAAATTCATTGGTAGATTTGGGAACTTAACCCAAATTGGCAGTTTGAGGAATTCCTCATCCTCAAACGAGAAATCCTCCGACAACATCTTTAACATCAATAATTTCCCAAAGATCGAGTATGGTCCCTCATTTAGCACTTTCAACCTATCAGCTTCGTTTTGAAATTTAAATATAATCCATCCCTTGTCATGGGACCTAACCAAACATTTCACCCCCCATTTTTGTCTTAGCTCATGGACAGCTTTTAGCCCAGGAAACCGACCTGTGAAGAAACCAACTAAACAATATCCCCACATCTCCACCATAGTAGGCATAACCCTATCAGCGAGGTCCAAAACATTGCCCTTTGGAGGGATATATCTCAATTTAATCCCATGAGATGGTGCACGGTTATCCTTAAAGAGTGCATTCCATGGTTTATTAACCATTTCAGTCTCTTTAGGGACTTCTTGGGACTGTTTGATCAGTACAGAATTCTCAGTAATTATGTTTGAAGCAGTTACCTTAGGTGGCCTCAAAGGAGAAGAAGCTCCTGCATCAGTAGCTACTGTCTGGACTGGGGCATTCTGCCCAGCCCTCTTATCCTTTTCCCCAGAGTTCACAGGCTTCCCAGGACCCTCAGTATGTTGTTTGAATACACCTGCTGCATCAGTCCCCTGCTTCCCAGAAGGCTTGAGTGTCGTTCCAGTCCCCTGCTTCAAAGCAGCATTCCCAGAATTCCCAGAGGAGTTCACTCTCGCAGCAGCATCAATCTGAGCCCTCTCTGACCGTTTCATCAAATTCCCATCACTCAGCGTCGGGAACTCTTCATCCGACCCTACCAGTACAGAAAATCTAGATGAAGAGCGTGTGTTACGGCAGGATGACGCCATAGCAGGACACAACGACGATGGACTGGTCGCGACTTAGGTTACAGTACACAAGCTTTCCCTGCTCACAAACCAGATTCCAAGCTTGACGAAACACAACTCACACCTTAATTCCATTTACAGAAAAAAGATTCGCAGATGAACAGTACACCACACAATTCAATTTCACATTATTTGGCCGTAATTCATCATTCTTGGAGAAGATGACCAAATTTCGACTGTTCTTGATGAGTGGAAAAAGTATAATAGCTTGATCCTTACTCCAAGGGGAGGCTAAAAAACACTCCCCAAACTAATTGAGCAAGAGGAGCCGGAGTTTTGGCCGTTGACCTACATACGTGAACAGTGTTTATGCGAGTGCTCTGGAGTGATCTGATCCCAAAAATCCCGAAATAAAGTTCGAAAATTGGATGAAGTACAACCCAAATAGATTTAGGACGTAATCCACCAATATCCAAGCTGAAGTTGCAAGATTAATGGGGGAAACAAGCGGATTTGTGGGTCGACGAAGAAGAACCCCGATGGTGAGGGAGAGAATCAGCTCTCAACTTTTCGTTGAACCCTAAACCACCCCATTGCAACTCGAAATGAGATCATATGTTGTCGTATTCAAAATTTAAGCCAATCTTCGTGACTCGATTTATTTAGTAAGCCTGAAAACACTGAAGAGTTGTATGTTTTTTTCTATTCATAATTTGGACTTGAGTCGTGAACGAGAATTGTGTACTTTTGCATAGGGAACCCATTGCAACTCGAAATGAGATCATATGTTGTCGTATTCAAAATTTAAGCCAATCTTCGTGACTCGATTTATTTAGTAAGCATGAAAACACTGAAGAGTTGTATGTTTTTTTCTATTCATAATTTGGACTTGAGTCGTGAACGAGAATTGTGTATTTTTGCATAGGGAACCCATTGCAACTCGAAATGAGATCATACGATGTCGTATTCAAAATTTAAGCCAATCTTCGTGACTCGGTTGATTTTGTAAGCCTGAAAACACTGAAGAGTTGTATGTTTTTTTCTATTCATAATTTGGACTTGAGTCGTGAACGAGAATTGTGTATTTTTGCATAGGGAACCCATTGCAACTCGAAATGAGATCATACGATGTCGTATTCAAAATTTAAGCCAATCTTCGTGACTCGGTTGATTTTGTAAGCCTGAAAACACTGAAGAGTTGTATGTTTTTTTCTATTCATAATTTGGACTTGGGTCGTGAACGAGAATTGTGTATTTTTGCATAGAAAACCCATTGCAACTCGAAATGAGATCATACGATGTCGTATTCAAAATTTAAGCCAATCTTCTTGACTCGGTTGATTTAGTAAGCCTGAAAACACTGAAGAGTTGTATGTTTTTTTCTATTCATAATTTGGACTTGAGTCGTGAACGAGAATTGTGTATTTTTGCATAGGGAACCCATTGCAACTCGAAATGAGATCATATGTTGTCGTATTCAAAATTTAAGCCAATCTTCGTGACTCGATTTATTTAGTAAGCCTGAAAACACTGAAGAGTTGTATGTTTTTTTCTATTCATAATTTGGACTTGAGTCGTGAACGAGAATTGTGTACTTTTGCATAGGGAACCCATTGCAACTCGAAATGAGATCATATGTTGTCGTATTCAAAATTTAAGCCAATCTTCGTGACTCGATTTATTTAGTAAGCATGAAAACACTGAAGAGTTGTATGTTTTTTCTATTCATAATTTGGACTTGAGTCGTGAACGAGAATTGTGTATTTTTGCATAGGGAACCCATTGCAACTCGAAATGAGATCATACGATGTCGCATTCAAAATTTAAGCCAATCTTCGTGACTCGGTTGATTTAGTA